ACGATATCATATTTGTAGTTATGAAAGAAAAACGTTATTTAGGCCAAAACAATTAATCGAAAGTCTATAAACACAACTACTTTCACACTTCTGAGACAAAGTTGATCAGAAATAATGACCTTTATATATTTCCACAAGATTGAGTGGGAGTTTATTACTGAGACTAACTAACTACAAGGACACATGAAGTAAGCTTAAGGTAGGGTTTGATATGTTTAAGTTGGGATTGAATGAAATTGTTACGGGTTAATTAACTCATATGCGTAGCTTTTTTTTTCGCAATGATTATTTTTTATTCTTAACTAATTTCAACTTGTATATATTACTAGTTGACAAGACTGTTTTACATTTGCTCCTGGCACTAATAATGCGTGTGTTTACGTTTACAAAACTTACATTTCAAATTCATTAACCCAACTCACCATTATAAACAATACGATTAACACTAATTGATAATGGAGTCCTCAATCTCATGAGATATTATGAAATTTCGCAATAAACCGTGTTGGTTCTATATGTTGACAAAAAATCCTTAACGTAGTAATAATATATACAAAAAAAGATGCTAATGGTTTGTTTCTTCTGAAAAAATAAAATGTGAAATACGACATATACAACCAAGACGTATAGTAAGAAATTATTAAGATTCATAACTGTAAGAATAGTTTTGTTGGTAAGAGTTATAAGTGTTTCATTTAGTGGACATACAGATAAAGCAATGAAATATTGATTTATAATTGAATTTATAATCTTACTAGGTGTTTTAATTTTTGAGTCTACCGTACTTAAACGTAGACAAAACGTGTCAAGTCTAGAGTTTAGTGAATATAGTACAAAGCTACTTAATGGGCTATCTGTGCTGTGGCCACCACGGGTATCGAAACTCGGTTTTTAGAGTTATAAACCTTTAGAATTACCGCTGGGCCACTGGGGTGTGTGTCACGTCTTATAATAAGGTTATTTGCTGTGTTCACCTAGGGGAATCGAACCCTAGGTTTGAACTTTGTAAGTTATATTAATTTTTATTTTCGGAAATGCACAATAAATGAATATTGGGGAAAAAATATGAAGTTGTTGAAGGTTATAATTAATAAAGGATGAAAGTATATTGGTATACTATAGTGTGTATGAAGTTGTTGAAGGTTATAATTAATAAAAGATGAAAGTATATTGGTATACTATAGTGTGTATGAAGTTGTTGAAGGTTATAATTAATAAAGGATGAAAGTATATTGGTATACTATAGTGTGTATGAAGCTGTTGAAGGCTATAATTAATAAAAGATGAAAGTATATTGGTATACTATAGTGTGTATGAAGTTGTTGAAGGTTATAATTAATAAAGGATGAAAGTATATTGGTATACGGTAGTGTATATGAAGTTGTTAAAGGCTATAATTAATAAAGGATGAAAGTACATTGGTATACAGTAGTGTATATGAAGTTGTTGAAGGTTATAATTAATAAAGGATTAAAGTATATTGGTATACTGTAGTGTATATGAAGTTGTTGAAGGTTATAATTAATAAAGGATTAAAGTATATTGGTATACTGTAGTGTATATGAAGTTGTTGAAGGTTATAATTAATAAAGGATGAAAGTATATTGGTATACTGTAGTGTATATGAAGTTGTTGAAGGCTATAATTAATAAAGGATGAA